ATTGAAGACAATGATGAGACAAAGAACCGAGGCTCTTCATGTCAGCAGGAAGTTATGAAGGACGAGAGTGCAGCACTTCTTTCTAATGAGATCAACGCAGTTGTACCTCAGGGATCGGCTGATGTTGATAGGGAGAACTACTACACAACTGGGGACTCTTTGGCAAACTCTCAAGTACCGTCGATTGAAGACAATGATGAGACAAAGAACCGAGGCTCTTCATGTCAGCAGGAAGCTATGAAGGACGAGAGTGCAGCACTTCTTTCTAATGAGATCAACGGAGTTGTGCCTCAGGGATCGGCTGACGTTGATATGGAGAACTACAACACACCTGGGGACTCCCATGTACCGGCAATCGAAGACTATGATGGGAGAACCAACAAAGGCTCTTCATGTCAGCAGGAAGTTATGAAGGACGAGAGCACAGCACTTCCTTCCAATGAGATCAACGCAGGTGTGCCTGATGAGGATTCAAACTCTTTTCATTTGGGGAATGTATCCACGGCGGCAAAGAATCGGGTCCACAGTTTCGTTCTCGATCTGGTGAATACAACCTCATCGCAGTTGGATACCTCCAGCCACCTGAATCAACTGGAGCTAACTACCAGTGAGTCTGTGGAGGCTGGTCCAGGTCCAGTGAAGGAGGATTCTTCCGGTTACACGAAGGTTTTAATGCTATCATTAAAGGGAAATGATTCATTAGAGTCAACGGCGATGTCTTCAGGTAACTCAAAAGTATCTTTAGCAAGTCATGTGGAGGCTTTCAGTGACGACTCTATCCTTTGCGGGATAGTCTGATTATTCCGAAAAGTACGAGACCAACATCTTTCAAAACTAATGAAATCTCAATAGAAGGAAAATCAGTATTATCATTTGTTTTTCACCTTTCCTCGGTGTACGGTGCCAGAGTAAGTCTTTCTTTGCATATGAAAACAAGACATGAAGCAATCAGTGTGGCACTTTACATCGAGTATGACACCTGTTGGTTTTTGCCTGTGAAGCAAATTCTGGCTCGTCGAGTTCAGCAGCACGCCTCCTATTGGAATCAATAATTAAGAAAGTGTATACCAACCTATATATCATCAGGGAATACAGTAAATCCACTGATATATCTTAGTGGGTTTCGTTAAAAAAAAAAACCATATTAGAGTGTATCAAAAAAAAAGTTTGAAAACATACAGAACTGTTAAGATGACAGAACTGACGTGATGGGATGCGCGACTAGCGCACGCGCTTTGAACTTTATAAATATGAAGACAAATTGGTAGCATTTGTTGGGCTATAATGTTGTCGTGTCCAAGTTTATCAGTTTTGGACGAGATGGATATTTTTTAGATATCATTTTCGTTAAGAGTTTTAGTGTTAAGCACGTTTCCGTTTGGTGGTGTTTCTTTCCCTGTTTTCCACCAGGTTTTCTGTAACGTTTTACTAACAATAACCTAAACCAAACAAAAAACTTACAAAGTGCAAACCCTTTAATTCACAATCTAGCAAAGAAATCTGCACCCCAGGTAAATGCATCGAAAGCATCTCAGGGATTGGCTGATGCTGACATGGAGAACTACAACACAACGGGAGATTCTTTGGCAAACTCTCAAGTACCGTCAATTGAAGACGAAGATGATACAAACAACCAAGGCTCTTCATGTCAGCAGGAAGTTATGAAGGACGAGAGCGCTGCACTTCCTTCCAATGGGATCAACGCAGGTGTGCCTGATGAGGATTCAAACTCTTTTTATTTGGGGAATGTATCCATGGCGGCAAAGAATCGGGTGGACAGTTTCGTTCTCGATTTGGTGAATACAACCTCATCGCAGTTGGATACCTCCAGCCACCTGAATCAACTCGAGCTAACTACCAGTGCTTCTGTGGAGGCTGGTCCAGGTCAAGTGATCGAAGATTCTTCCGGTTACACGAAGGTTTTAATGCTATCATTAAAGGGAAAGGATTCATCGGAGTCAACGGCGATGTCTTCAGGTAACTCAAAAGTATCTTTCGTAAGTCAACTCTCTCCTTTGTGGGATGGTCTGATTATTCCGAAAAGTACGAAACCAACATCTTTTAAAACTAAAGAAATCTCAATAGAAGGAAAATCAGT